TCCTAATATTAATTAGTTTCCATTATTTGTATTTTTGCTGTATAATCTACCTGGTGGTTGATCATATATATTTATCTTTTGGAAAAAGGGTTTTATTGGTTTCCTTTATTTGTCTAAATATTCGATTTATTTCTAATCTTTTAAATCTGGTTATTTGGGGTTTGATCTGTTTTTCTAAATTGTTAAAGAAGTTTTACCAATTGATTATGAACCTTGCTTCATTTCTAATATTTGTATTTTATCTGAAATTTTTACTTCAAAAACTAGTTATAAAAAACAGTTCTGAATCAGCAACAATAAATATTGGTGAGGATGTAGGGACAAAGGAACCTATGTCCTTACACTGTTGGTAGGGATGTATATTAGTACAACAACTATGAAAAACAGCACAGAGACTCCTGAGAAAACTAAAAATAGATCTGCCATATGATCCATCAATACCACTCCTGGGGATATACCCAAAGAATTGTGAGTCAGGTTACAACAAAGGCACCTGCACACCCATGCTTATTGCAGCACTTTTCACAATAGCTAAGCTATGGAAACAGACAAGATGCCCCAATACTGACAGATGGATTAAGAAAATGTGGTATTTATATACAGTGGAATTTTACTCAGCCACAAAGTATGAAAATTTAAAATTACATGTAAATGGATGAAAATGAGGAACATCATTTTAAGTGAAGTTAGCCAGGCTCAAAAGGCCAAAAGCTGCATGTATTCTCTCATATGTCGAATGTGGTCCCTATACAAATACAACAATATTATGAATAACTGGGGAGGTCACATATCTGAGAAGTACTAAGAAGATGAATATGGTTGAAATACTCTCTATACAAGAATGAATACAGAATTCTTAAACTGGCTGAAACCACCATAAGAAAGGGACTAAGGTAGAATGAAGAAAAATAGAGTCACTATTCAATATCTTCTCGTCCACTGGGAACACTGGAAACTATTCAGTCATAACTCTCTAGCCTCTCAAATACATGAGATTTTCTGATGTCAATGCAGGTTTCAATGTTCAGCAGACCCATGGGATTTCATGGACACTTCTCAAGTCTGTTTTTGCATCCAGAATGCAACCCTTAGTTTCAGGTGTATGTTAACACCTGAACCACAGGATTTTTTCCAAAGAGATTCTCACACTGCTGGGGGTTCCTATCTCTGCTTCAGAACTCAAACATTTCTTTCAACTGTTAAAATGGCATGTGTTGTGGGTTTCAAAATTTATTTATCTTGTATTTTTCTCAGGGATAATGACAGTACTGTTCTTTCTACTCTCCAGCATTAAAAAATCTAAAATGATATTTCTTTCTTCCTCCTCCACCACCAACTCTTTCTCCTCTTGCTCCTCTTTTGTTCTCCTTTTTCATTCTTTTATTTCATATTTTTCCCTCTCTCTCTCTCTCTCTCCCTCTCTCTCTTTGTCCTTTCTCTCTTTCAATCTCTTTTATAAAGGCAAAATTTGGTCTGTTGTCTCTACCACAGCAAGAAACATATTCTATGTGAGTTGTTTTAATCTTTAAATATTCTATTTACTTTTACATATTGTCAATTTTAGTAAGTATTTTAAGTACATACAGAGAAAGCTACATTATTTAAGTGTATATAATAGCAAACATTTGCAAGTATTTATACATTGTTCTATATTATCCTGTGAATTTTCTTTTAATTATTGACAGTAGAGTTGAAAACCTCCCACTAACTGTTAAGGGCGTGGCACAGGGGCATAGCACTAGCCTAGCACTTAGTAGCATGCACAGTGTCCTGCATTGGATCACCATCACCAAAAGGAAGAAAGAAGGAAAGAAAGAAACAAACAAAGAGAGAGAGAGAAAGGAAGAAAAGAACATTTCCCACTAAGACTGTGGATTTGTGGATATCCCCTTTATATTTTTCAATTTTGATTTGTAGTTTTGAAATCATGAACACACATTTGTTCTTGATATCTTTTGGCATTAAATATTCCCCTTTCTGCAGAAATGCCCTTTTACAATTTAGTGATATTTCAGTTTCAACAATCATAACTCACATTTTAAAAAGTTCATTTTTCTGTTTACATGCATGTGTTCTAATTTTTCCTAATTTTCTGATATTTTGTTAAATTTATGACACCTTTCTATACTATTAATAATTTTAAATTTATGTATTTATATTCCCCAGCTGAAATTTGCTCACAATTTTTTTTGAAGTTTAACAGTAAGTTCATCTTCAGTGGATCTTTAAAGTATAACTCTGGCAATAGATTGGCCTAAACCAAGTTTTTATTTTCTTGGAATAGCATTCTTCCTTTAGGAAATTGTAGATAACTACAACTTACAACTAGTTTCTTCTAATTTTAGATTTGTTTTAAATTTGAATCAAGCTTTCAACATTGATAGTGGTATGTAGTGATCACAGTTATGAATTCCCTTAATGGAATTTCTTCTTTTTGCTCTTTACATTTACTGCCCTAGTTGGACCCAGTTTTCTTTCTTATTTCCATTTTATGGACTAGATTCATTGCATATTTGCTTTTTCTATACCAGTTCATCTGTTCAGTGATTCCAGCTTATTATAAAGCTCTCAGCAGCAATTCTGACCTAATGAAGACCAAATCTAGGTCATTGTTTCTATATGAGTTAAACTAAATTTGTTTTCTTCTATTTCTTTATTCATTTCTTTGTTAAATACACAGTCTATGTCTATTCCAATATGAAGACATTAATTTCTCCAAGTTACTTGTACAAAGAATGCACAAAAAGCAACACAAATTTCAAGTACTCTACCTGACTTGCTATATGAAAATGATATAGTATTTTAATGTGATTAAACAGTGAAGAATGTATTGTAAAAAGATGTTCAACTTCTTTGTTATGAGCTCGGCTATTATTTTAAAAATAGTGCTTTCTACTAAAGTAAAAAATTCCACATGTTAACGTAAGAGTTCAATATCACCCTAAATTAGTAAATAGAATTTGATTGTAATGTCAAAAAAGATATTATTAATAAAATTATTTAAAATATTGAATACTAATAAATTTTATATGCTACAACTAGGGAGTTCTAATTTAATTACACATACATTTTACAGAAATATTTTATCCTCTTTTCTAAGAAACTTAATATCTTTTTTATTATTCCCCTAAGGTTATAGCCAAAATGTTCAGTTTCCATTGTTGATAGGTAAGATTCAGAAAAAGTGTTTCAATATGTTGATGTCCAGATTTGAAGTAAGATATTGAACCTTCATAGTTATCTGTCCTTGGGCAAATCACTTAATTTTTTGAATCTTAGAACCTCATAGATAAAATAGGAAATAAATCTCTATTTTTTATTATTGTTAGGGAAAAGAAAGTGAACTGAATACGAAGTAACTTGAGGAATATCCTCATGGAATATGCATGCCATCCTTTTCTAGGGAAAGGAGTATTTAAACAATGACAAATACTTATAAGGTAATCCCTAGGACTTCAGAAATGAAGCCTGGAATTAAGTATGAGTGAAAATACCTGACTGGACTACACCTGTATTTTTCATTGCATAAGCATGAATAGGTACTAATTCACTCTTTTCAATTCCTTCTGAAGTCCATTAATTTTTAGTACTTAGTTTAACATTTTAGTGTAGCTATTCAATTCTATTAAGTTTTGTATTCTTAAGACAAATAAATTTTTAAATCTATGTTGTTTCTATACAACATGAGAAAACAAAAGCACTCTATAAAATCATTCCATTCATCTTAGATGTTACATGCACAGTCTAAATCTATTCCAGTATGAAGACATTAATTTCTCTAAGTTATTTGTACAACGAATGCACAAAAAGCAGCACAAATTTCAAGTACTCCACCTGACTTGCTATATGAAAATAGTATAGTGTTTTAATGCGATTAAACAGTGAAGAATGTAGTGTAAAAATGTAAAACTCAAATAAACCTATGGAAATCTCTCAATACCTTGTATTTGAATAAATTCCCATTTATTTTCAGGTTAAATCTGAATTTGATTCATTCTTTGAGATTAACAATTTAATCTGTCTTTGATACCTAAATTTTCTCAAAATAGATTATATATAAAACATTAAAAATACCTTTCCTCAGAGAGACATATATAAATAAGTGAAAACATATCAGGTTACAATAAAGTATATTTCATGGATGTAGCCATCCTGGATAATGTGGGAATGTACTCATGTAGATCTGCAAATCATGAAAAGTCATCACAAGCAGTTACAGTAATGAGGCAGAATGAATTTAGCAGACACTAGAACTGTGTTCTGGTCTCCTTACTGCTGATCCATTGAAAGTGTTGACAAAGGGCATTGGATACTAGTTTTGGTATGTTGATGTCTTATTGAAGAAAGGACAGTAACATTTTTAAAGTATATAGTCCTGTCATAAAGGATGGAGATATTCACTCTTCTTCATGGTTTCTGTTTATATGAAACAGAAATGGTACAAAAATTATTCAAATTTTCTTTGAACAGGTCTTAAATTTGATGCTGTTAGGGTAGGTGTACAATTGTTCCATCAAAGGTAAAAAGGCCACCTAGAGGTCAACTTGTGTTTCCTGTTCTTCCATAAATCTGGTAAATCACAAAAGTTGTCCTTCACATCCTTGAAATATGGTCACAAAACTCACTTTCTAAAATATATGAATCCTGAAAGTAGTCTGGTTGGCGGTGGAAAAGGTTGCTTTGTGGGAACCCGGCCAGAGGTCCTGAGGAGACCACACATCTCGGGTAGACGTGCTGGGGAGAGAGGAAGCCAGGATGAGCCAGGGATCGCTGCGAGCGAACACTGACAGACCCCTGCTTTCAGTACCCATTGAGCGCTTCCTGTGAGGCACCCTTGGAATCGCTTCTGTGTCATGGAGGCTGAGGCTAACCAACTTCCCAGGATCACTCAGAAGTTAGAGTCAGGACCAGGCACTCATTCTGACTTCCTCTGTTTCCTAAAACTGTGATGAGTGCATCCTGAGTCCGAAGACCGTGGGAATTAGTCAGGAGACCACAAGATGTGGTGGAAGCTGCTGATGAGACCCCAGCCCTGCAGGCTGTGTTCTTTCAGAAGGATGCAACCAACTACAAAATACAAACCTTTCTTAGCTAGCTTCACCTGCACAACCAATAGACAGTCAAGTTGTGAAAACAAAGAAACGGTGGAAAAGCTCGATAAACTTTCAGTGGACATCAGGAAAATCCGTAGATTAAAAGGATGGGTACTGCTGGAGGCTGAGACCTATGTTGAAGAAATTTCAAACATTTTACAACAACTAGGTGCTGACCAGACAGTGATAGCCAGTATTTTGGAACGCTGTCCGGAAGCAATTGTCTGTAGCCCAGCTGCTGTTGACCAGGAAAGAAAACTCTGGCAGTTGGTCTGCAAAAATGAGGAAGAGTTAATCAGGTTAATAAGGCAGTTTCCAGATTGTTTCTTCAATGTTAAGGACAAGGAAAACCGGAAGCTCAACATTCGTTTCTTTCAAGAGCTGGGACTAAAGAATGTGGTCATTAGCAGATTTTGACAACTGCACCTAGTATTTTTCATAATCCTGTTGAGACTAATAAGCAAATGATAAGAATTCTCCAAGAGAGCTACCTAAATTTAGGTGGCTCTGAGGCCAACATGAAAGTTTGGCTACTCAAATTATTAAGCCAAAATCCATTTATTTTGTTGAAATCTCCTGCAGTTATAAAGGAAATACTAGAATGTCTCCAGGAGCAAGGTTTCACAAACTTTGAAGTTCTTCAACTTCTGTCCAAACTCAAAGGATTTCTTTTTCAGCTTTGCCCCAGAAGTATACAGGACAGTGTTTTGTTTTCTAAGGCTGTTTTGGAATGCACAGCTGATGACCTGAAGCAATTAGTTGTGATCTGTCCTGTGCTTTTATATTATTCTGTTGCAGTTTTAGAAGAGCAGATTCCGGGACTATTGAAAGAAGGAATTTCCATAGCTCAGATAAAAGAGGCACCAATGGTTCTGGAATTAACACCACAGATAGTTCAGTACAGGATAAGGAAATTGAATTCCTTGGGCTATAGAATAAAGGATGGACAACTGGCAAGTCTGTCTGGAACAAAAAAGGATTTTGAGGCTAACTTTGGCAAAATGCAAGCCACAAAAGGAAGGCCATTATTTAACCCTGTGGAACCATTAAATGTTAAAGAGTGACATATTGACCCATGTCTCTTTTCTAGCAGGTAGAGTAAAACTGATTTCGTAAAGATTTAAAGTAGCTTCTGCGTTGTGTTTAACTTACCTCTTAACAAATGATCTGACTCATTTGTTGTATTTTAAAATATAAATTTTGTTTATTTAAAAAATAAATAAATAAAATAAAATATATGAATCCTGCCACTACCAGTTCTTTGAGAATGAAATTCAATTAAAAAATACACAGTTCCCCTTAATATAGATAATAAAATGTAAATGAACAAAGACTTAATTTCACTATGAAATGTTATCTCTCCATATTTACATTTATAACGATGTACTTGTAAGGAATTCTTTGCAAATGTGTATTTTCATACCAAACTGCTGTCTATATTTTATATGCCAATAAGTAAGATTTTTCTAATGCAATACATATTCAGTTCTTTGCCTAATCCTTAAAAAACTTGAATTTTTTTTATCCTTACTCATTAAATTTCAGGAGTGGAAAATCTTTCACAGCTTCCAGTATTAAAGCATTTGACTCTGAAAATAATCTAGACATAGGTATGAAAAATAAAGACACAAATATTCCAAATGTGTATTGTGCTAAAGTAGCCATCTGATAATCTAAATATGGAAGGCATACAATATACATTGAAGTGCAAAATATAAGTGCAGTCATGATCATAAAAGACACCCTTTTAATTTATAAATCTCATTTTTCCTGAAATAGTCAAGGATGTCTCACCCTGGGCAGGGGAATGTAGTAGGTGCACAGAGTGGAAAGAATTACTATAGCTTGCAATTGTCAGTATAAGAAGATTAAATGGCTCAGTTCCTTTCCTTTTTCATGCACTGGGCTTATATATCCTTCACAGAATTACTACAGAGCAATGTTCACAAATTTCAGAGACACATGTAGCTAGGTTCACTTTTGAGTATTATTTTATAAAATTATAAACACAGTTTTGCCTGTCAAATATAGTATGAAAATTCAGGTATGACTTGACCAAGAAGACTTGCAAAACATACCCATGAATATGCCCTTGATTTTAAAAGTAATTTTTGAAGATACTTTAAAGCCACTTACAATTTGACAAGCTGAATCATTTCAGTTGATAAGAGACAGTAAATACTACTAAAACTAATTGCCTTTATCAGCACTTGTGTAGGAACAACTGTTCTTACTTAACACCTGGTCTCACTGGTGTGTTTTTTTTCTTACTCCTGTAAGACACCCGTATGACTCTGTTACATGATCTTCTTCATGGTATTAGTTATTTCACTTTCCTAGTGAAATGCTTTATTGAGTTCCCCAAATAAAATGAAACAAAAGAGTATGTTAGTTTGTATGGCATTAAATGCTTTCTCAAGTGTGGTGTCATTTTCGAGCAATCCCTCTGCACTTAAATTGGCTTTTTTCCCATAGAAGATACATTCACCCAGGCATGCGTGGCTCATGCCTGTCATCCTAACTACTCAGGAGGATCACGGTTTGAAGCCAGCCCGGGCAAATTGTTCATGAGACCTTATCTCGAAAATAGTCATCACAAAAAAATGTTGGTGGAGTGGCGCAAGTTGAAGGCCCTGAGTTCAAGCCCCAATACCACAAAAAAAAAAGAAGATAAATTCACCGTCACCTCAACTCCCATTCCCCACGTCCAACACCACGTATTTCCTCATACAGTTCCACTTACTGTGACTATCATCTCTATTTACTTATTTAGAAAATTGTATTTCTGGCTGTGGTTGGACACCTGTCATTCCAGCTCTTGGAATGTTGAGGCAAGAGGATTGTGAGTTAGCTACCAGCCAGGGCTACATAGAAAGACCTCCATCCCCCAAAATTCCAATAAATAAATAAATAAATCTATTAATATTCAAACTTATAAGGGTAATACAAATTCATTAAAGTTAGTAAAATAATGCAAATACATACTCTATAAAGGGTGATAATCCCTCCCTACTTTGTAAATTTGTTATAATAAAATTCAGAATCTTATCCAACGTTTCTGTACATTTCTTCAGTGACACTGTACACACTAGATAGATGCTACTGATTACTAACAGATAAGCTGCCACATGCCTTGCAAGTGTGTCTTTCCCAAGTCTTATTAAATATATGTGCATTTGTTTGTGGGATATGTCTACAAACAGAAATATATTCTCTTTGATCATAATGATTTTTGTGACCCAGTTTTAATTTTATTGTTATTTGTAGGAATTCTTCTTACCCTTTTTTCATACAATCTCCTCCGAAAGCATATGTTTATTCTCCTTAGTATACTTTTTTTGCATTGAGAGAAAAACTCCAGTTAGTACTGCGTGTGTTCATGTGTATGTGTAATGAAGAGTCTAAGCATTGGACACTTTCTTTTAATCCTCAAAAACATTTTTCCAAATCTTTGCTCTATATGACAATCCTATTCTAAACTCTGGTCTTTAACAGAAAATATTGAGATCAATGCTTCCTTTGTTTGGAAAATTGCTTGGGTCTATAACCCATAACTTTTTCTTTATGGTTGATACCTCTTTCCATTGTGACAAAGAAAAGGTTCTCTTCTAAAGAAGGTTAATTATGGCTCTGTGTCTCCTACCTCATATAACATTCCATATTTTATTTTAGAAGTTTACTTCATCAATTAGCCATGATTAACCTTTATCTTTCACCTCCTGATCTTCTCTCATTACATAGTCATACAAAAATTTCTCCAATCTTAGGATAATTGAAAAATGAATTTCATTTAAAATTCTAATTACCTTCTCACTCTTGTTTAATTTTATGCAATCTCCTGATAGATAACAATTTATCAAAATGAATAAGAAATTTACATTATTTTCTTCACTAAGTCATTTCATTTTTTTGTGTTATGTGTTACTTGCTTTGTTTATACTTTTTAAACACCTATTAGTTAGTTTAGTGTTTATATCACTGATACAGGGAAGGATTATTGTTTACATTTTATAATTTGGAGAGTTAGGCAATGTCTCAGGTCATTCAGCAGGTATGATGAGGAGCTGGGATTTGAACCTGTGTCTCTCATCTCCAAAGCTCATATCTTTGTGCCATGACATGTAGTAAAAATTGCAACTGTCTTTCTTTTATGAAGAATTAGAAAGAGAGGAAATGATCAAATATTTGCCAAGAATTTTAAAAACAGGATAAATACACATTAGAGGAAGCCACTGTTTTTTCTAAAAAAATATTTATAGTGACACTTCCTCTCATGTTACTGGTTACCATTTTTGTGAGGTTACAATGTCCTTCTTTATACCTCACAAACTGATAGTACTGGGGTTTGAACTCAGGGCCTCCTGCTTGCATGGCAGGCACTCTACCATTTAAGCTACTTGGCCAGCCTTACTTCACAAACTTTGAAAAGAAGAGATTGATTGTAAAAACTTGCTCCAAACGTCTAGAACAATTCAATCTACATAGAGTGGCCAGTAGATGTAGAATAAATGGATAAATTATCTTATAAATATTATTTTTCCTTTATTTTCTCAGATCATTGCATAATTGTTTCTTGAAATCTGTACTTTCTTCATCTCTGCTGTTACCTTTCTTTTTATTTTATTGTTTTGTTTTAATTTTTCAGTCCTGCTTCTTCTAATCATTTTTTTCAGTTTTCATTTTCTATGGGATTCTGCCCTTGGTCCCCCTGCTTACCATTCTCATTTCTCTTCATTCTCTCTCTCTGTTTCTATCTTTCTCTCTCTCTCTCTCTCTCTCTCTCTCTCTCTCTCTCTCTCTCTCTCTCTCTTTCTTTCAGCAGTTCTAGTGATTGAATTCAGACTCCTGTTCATGCTAGGCAAGTACTCTGCTAATGAGTTACCCATTTCCAGCCCTTCAGACTCTTTACTTCTGTGAAGTAGTATTTAATACCTAAGAATAAACTAGTATAATGTAACTTCTTTCACATTTTGCTAGTCAAAGGAATTCATTAATCCTTTCAGATTCAAAAAAAGGTAATAAAATTTATTACTAGATTGAAGAAATATGAATATTTAGTTGTATAAGGAATTTTTGGTGGATATTTTCAGATAGTCTTTAATTTGCAGCACTTCTCACCCCTCATTTGTGCAAAATAAACCAATTATTCCCTCTAATCCCATTATAGTTATACTACAACATTGACTGTTAAGTCTAGTATTCTATCATCTAATGAGGATTACTGAAAATGAATCTCCTTTGGCTCAATTATCAGTATAGAGATGCACACATAATTTTAGATTGCCACACTTTCTGCTTATTCTCCATGTAATGTTTCATCAAAATATTTAATATATTGTAGATTGGATTATAGTCCTTCATATAACTCTTAAAATATAATGCTTATTGTGGATAAAATGACTTCAATGGAATTTAATGATTACATCATGGGGTTATCACAAAATTTTAATTGGATATATTCTTATCTTAGTAGATATAAGAAAATATTCATTTCAGATAAAATATTCATTTCAGATAAAAATTACTGGTACATATTGTATTTGTAGTTATTAAATTCTTATATTCCTGTATATATCAGTTTCATTAATTTCTTAGAAGTTCATTTAACAAATAGAAAATGGGATAATTTTATTTACAATTATCTAACTAGCCAATATGACTTGAAGGAGAAACAAAAATAGTATAAACATGAATATAGGTATGTACTTTGTGGCTGTCAGGTCAAGAACTCAGAAAGAAGTTTAGACATGGCTGGCACCCAAATTTCTATACCCTCATTCAAAGTTAACTTGCATGTTTAATTGAAATAGCATAAAGAATACTTTCAGGTTTAGTTTTCCCATCTTTCCTTTTCAATGGATATATTTTAATTAGCACAAGTAAAAGTTGTATGTTTTTGTTAAAACAATGAGAAAACTTTAATAAAATATTAACAGTATTTGAAATTAAACTAGAGTCCCTGACATTTCTCTCTTAAAAGAGTGATATGCATTTATTCATCTGTTACAAATTCCTCTATTTTGGTTAAACCAATGCGTTATAGTTCTATTAAGTATGTTTTTAA